TGTATATTAGAGTCAACCAGGAAGCATTAAAAAACAAAAAAAGACATGATGCACAAACTCTACACAAACTAATTTACTTATGACTTGAGGAGGCTGCAGCCCCGATGTGGGTCTATTTGAGCATCCAGGGGCACCACTATACATTTACCATAGCTCAGCCATTTTCCTACCTCTCATTTTTTTTTGTCCCTAATTTTCTGAGCTCTAAATTTGATCCACAGCCATATCCAATTCTACTTTCACCTTGTCACAAAACACTGAAAACCAGTACAGTAAGCTGGCTTTTTAATCAGTATTCCTTGGAAGGGCTAGATAAGAAAACCTATAAAAAATTCCTACATTTAAAAATTTATTATCTGTGCTGAATCTCATCCAGGAGAGATTCAGCCTTTTCTCCACATGCAAATTACTTGAAGAGTTTTAAAACAAATAGACAGTCAGCAAACAACTGGGAAAAAACACATACCTGCCCAGCACTGAACTCCCGAGATCCTTTTCCAAGTATCATTGGGTGGGGCACAGCTCATGTTATTGGCTACTACTTGGGCAATTATGATACTCAGGCATTTTGAGAACCAGCGTTAGTCACCAATCTTGAGAACACACACTCTAATATACATACAACACACAACGTCAATGGCCTCAACTTCTCTGGTCCTCCGGACTCTTTGAACACTAGCTGTCTCTTCCTGTGTGGAGAATGGTAAACTGAACACAGGTAATGAAGGCTGATGTCATGTCTTTTGCTTGCATGTGCTACAAGATGGGCATAAGGAATGGGATTCATCACAAAGAGACTTGGATGCAAAGTCAGTGTACAGGCCATTGGTGGCTCTAAGGTACCAAGCAGTACAATTTTCAGCTCTCAAGTATTTCTTCAACCATCTTCTCTTAAATCATGATATTTCATGTGTTGAGTGTAGCATACCATGGCTGCTTATGTGTACACATGGTGTATTCGAAACAGTTAACAAACATGCTTCTCTAACTATAAGTCATCCAGCAGCAGGGATTAATTTTCCATGTCCTTTTAGAAACATTTTTGGCATCTCTCTCTTTTGCCTCTGAGTGATAATCCACGTGATTCATGACAACCCTCTACTAGAAATCTTGTAATTGGCATTATCAAAAGCCTACTTGGAAGCTGGCAATGGATGGTGAACACCTGAATCCCAATGAAGGGGCCAGTAGGCTTAATCAGGAGTACAATGATTTTAAAGACAACCTGGACTACACAGTGAGACCCTGTCAAAAACTAAGTGGAGGCGACTATCTAAGATCAAGGTGGTTTTGTTTTGCAGGCTGATGTGGCCTCTCCTCACGGGACACCTAAGTGCCCTTTGAAGAATAACATTCCTTTTCCTGTCCCCCAAATTCCTCAGACTATCTTGCCTGTGTCTCCTTTGGTAATAGTGACTTTTTTTTCTGACTTATAAACTAAACTTCTCTACAATCACTAGAGAGAATTGATTATAATTTTTTCTTCTAAAATCATTTTCCTTTGAGTTGTATTTAGTTAGCACTCTGCTTCTCCTTCTGCTGAATGGTGGGCATCTGGTCCATGGGAAATACTTAAGCACCTTTTTAAAACTCCATGTAATATGTGTATGTCTCTGTGTACACATGTGGAAGTAAGTGTGTTTATACAGGCATTCATGTGGGCACATGCAGGTCATGTCAACTTCTAGGGTTATTCCTCAGAAGCCTCCTATTTGTTTTATAATCTCTCTCTCTCTCTCTCTCTCTCTCTCTCTCTCTCTGTATGTGTATTGCATGTATATATATATATATTTTGAGACAGAGACTCCCACAAGGACCAAAGGTTTAGTAATCAGGCTAGGCTACCTGGACAGTGAGCTCCAAAGATTGCTTTTTCAGCTGCCCCAACACTGGGGTTACAAGCAGGTACTACCACACCCAGTTTTTATATAGGTGCTGAGAATCAAACTTAGGTCCTCATGACTGCATGGCGAGCACCTTACAGCTGTGCTGTTCCCCTCACTTTTAAACATCCTTCATGACAATAAGCTTTTGGAGTTGCAGTTGAACTCATCTGAGCTACCATACCTTCCATTTGCCCTTAGTGGCTATGAAGTTTGTGTCTGAGTAAAGGAAGGTGTCAGGAACCAGGGCTCACATCCTAATAGCTTTAAAGGACCAACTCTTTAGAAGGTTCTATTAAAGCCCCTTTGAGTAGCATGGGGGAAACAGGCTGTCTTTAATCTACTCCAAAGTGATGTTGGGAGTGAGATTCATTGCTTATTAATGAGCCTGCCACCAAATGCCTCCCAAGAGCTGTTGAAGAAAAGAAAAATGTGTTCATTGCCATTAACTGAGTAAGTGCTGACGCACTTAACCCCAGCGCTTCCACCTGCAGTCACCCAGGTGAGAAGCAGCTAGCTGGCAAACTACACGAAGCTTTGTGATAGTCAGTCTGGGACTCGTATATAAAGCCACTGCTTGTTTTGTCTGTCTTTGACGTATTAATGCATCTTCATACTCACGGCTCATTACTCCCCTTGGCAGTCTTCTGGTCCTCTTATTTCTCTTCTGCTTCAGTTTCTCGGGGAAATGCCTGTCTGCATGTCTGCTAGAAGACCCCCAAAGCAAATTTCAGGCTTGCCATATAGCCTGTCTTAAGAATAGCGTTGCTCAAAACTTACCGATGAAATTTGATTCAAAAAAAAATCTGTCAAGCTCACTTTGCTCATTGTGGTAACAAAGATATATAATAACATAGGAAGATTTTTATTTATATAGCTGTGCATAGATGCAGTTAAAAAGAAATAAATATTAGGCAGTAAATTTAACTGGCTAAGACAAAGAATATTTTGATTGTGTTGTTGGTGCAGATGGGAATTTGAATGGCATTGTTTTTCAACCCTGCCTGAGGCTGGGGAATAGTAAATTTTCTCAAATGCCATTTAAGTGTCTCTGCCTCTTGCTATTTGTCTTGCCAAGGATATCATAGGTCTTGATGGATTTGTTATGCGCAGTCATGCTCGGCTGACGCTTCCACGTCTTTGATTGTCCCACTAGGAATTTCATTACAGGGCTGTCCTCAGGAAATCTGCTGCTGGCTGGACGTGCTGCGTCACCATGTGCCCTGCAGCTTCAGCGTGGTAAATAGATTTTTCTGTTTGTTCAACTTGCTTAGGCACTTACTCTACAGATGTACACAAGAATAAAAGGTTTCATGTTGATCTTTCCAGGTCCAGATTATGTATAATTGCGTCCGTCTTATTAGACAGTATCTTTATTACACCAGAGAGGCTGCTAGACACATCAAATCATTCTGGAAGAGGTGTTCTTTGTTTTCTTAGAACTCGTGGATTCATCTTCAGTTTTTCTCTCACGCCATCTCACATCTGAAGAGAAAAACGCTTCTTGTGTACTTTGCTGGAAAATTGACCTTTTCTTGGCATGTGCAGCTTGACTTCATTCACCCATCCGTTCATCAATTTTATGTGCGTATGGCAGATATGTCTGTATATGTACATGGGTGTAGATGTGTCTGTCTATGCCTGTTTTTTTCTGTCTTCTTCAATTGTTCACAAGTGTGTGTGTGTATGCTTGTATGTGTGTGAGTGTGTGAGTGTGTGTGTGTGTGTGTGTGTGTGTGTGTGTGTGTGTGTGTGCGCGCGTGTGCGTGCGCGCGCACGTGCACATGTACCCTAGTATACATGTGGAGGTCAGAGGACAATTTTCAGGAGACAGGTTTTTTTTTTTCTTTCACCATGCAGGTCATGGGGATCCAACTCAGGGTGTCAAGCTTGGTGGCATACACGCTGAGCCATTTCACAGTTCCTCTATCTTATTGTTTTTGATACAGGGTCTCTCATTGTACCTTGAATTTACGGATTTTTTTTCTAGAATTTCTAGCTCCAGGGCTTCTTCTGTCTCCTCTTCTCTAGAGCTGGAATTATAGACATATGCCATCATATCTGGCTTTCTACAAAGTGACCAGGGATCTGCCCGCATGCTTGCGCAGTAAGCACTTTGCTGGCTAAGCCATCTCCCCAGAGCCTATTCTCACTTTAAAAGTGAGTAGAGAATCACCAGCAGATTTGGAATCCCACTAAGAAGATTCCGGCTTCATTACGCATATGCAGTGGCTTATAAACCATGGGTGATTTCTGAAGCTGACTTTCTTTGTTGCTGTTCAGAACTGTGGTAAACTCAATAGTGTTTTGGGGAGCAGAGATGAGTCATTTTCAGGGTTCAGTTTGCAAACATCTCCCCATTTGAGCTTTCCTGGGAAAGGGAAATGTGTTCTTGTTGGTTAATACTTGTTCTTCATGAAGAAGTTTTCATCAGGGAATTGGGCCTGGGATGGGGTGGGGTGGGTATGGTGGGTGTGGTGGGTGTGGTAGGTAGGCAATGCTTTTCCTCAGTGAAGTTCAGGAACCTGAAATGTTTCCACTGACAAATGAAGTTTATATACTTAATGCACAGAAGTGTTGTTTAAACCCAAATCTCCCTATGTGTCTTCTAGTTCTAGTATTCTTAAAGGACAAAGAATATAAACACTATGGCTTTGACTATCATAGGCAAGACATTTCTTAAGTTTTTCCTTTAAAGGTCCCATGACATTGAATTTCAAATGTACAATATCACTTCAAAGTACATCCTAGCACAAATATCTAGACAGAAATTTCTATTAACTTACCTAAATACTTAATGTGTTGGATTTCACTATGCTGCTTTCATTTGAAGGTAGATCTCAATTTGTAATGGACTACTCATCTATTGGAAATTCTATTCTAATAACAAATTATTGGTTTATGTGAAAAGCCACCTGGATATTTCAAAATATCATCTAATGCTTAAAGCTTCCAATTCAAAAGTTTCTAGTCTTAGATTCTGCAAAGCATTTTGAGAGGCATTGCCATAAGCATAGTTGAAGGTTTTCATTGTTATGTGTTGTTTTCTTATGTCCATGTGTTCAACCAACACATACCAAGGGCCTATTAAATGTTTTGCATTTTCTCCATGCTCCAGAAATTACTCACTGAGTGAGAAGTGTTCTCAGTTCAGCAAATCAACCATCATTGCAAGGTGCATCCAGGAGTAAAGGTGAGGTGACAATACAATAAAGACACAGATGTGATCTCTCTAATGCAAGTTACAGCCATTCCTTTCCATTGCTTATTTCAACTGTACTGACTCAGAATAATACCTGAAACCATTCAAATACTATTCACACAAAGTAACTGAGTACATTCAGATTAAACTATATGCTCTGAATCACAAAGCAAATGATTAGCAGCCTGATCCAATCTAAGATTCTTAAGAGGTTGATCAATGATCATTATGTTCATTAGAAACATCCTAGAAAGACTCTTAGGTTTGAAGAAAACTTTGAAGATGCTGAACCCTAAGGCATACCTTCTGCTTTGGTTAGAAAGTAAATAAAGAAGGAAAAAACTGCCATTGTCAGGGTCCTAGATAACAAACTAGGGTTAGATTCATCAGTACTGATTGATCTATTATAGATACTCAAATATGTAAACTGGTTACTTTTGGTAAAGAAGGAAAGGAAGAAAGAATTTCAGAAAGTTGCCTTACCCAAGACAACATATGGCCTTTATGCTGGTCTTGTTACTATTGAACAGAGGTGATAGAATATCAGAGAGAACAATGATGTCAGAGATGCATGAAATGTTGGAAGCTGTAACTCCCCATTTCCCTTTTGTACTTGAGATAGCAGAGGCCAAATAAAGAACTGACTTGTCCAGTGATGCCCAAAACTAGAAGCAGAGAGAAGTATCTTGACTCTTAATTCTATGACTTTTCTACCATTGTCACTCATGCTCTTAGATAACTTAGTAGAACATCAGAGCTTCATTTTATATTTTATAGTGAAAAAACTTATCTTTATCTTGAAAGCCAACTCTTTCTCAGCATGTGAAGGTGATTCTGTGCTTGTGTGTACCACACTCCTGGGTTTCCATGACCTTTTCTTCCAGCATGTTGTAGATTAATAGCAGATTGTTTCACAGAACATGAGCAGATTTTAGTAAAGATTTTTTCCCCTGGATAAATCTTGTATTTATGTTCATAAAAGTCCTTAAGATACTTATTTATAGTATTGTGATTATAGTTATATAATTCAGTATTAGGTATTTGAAATGACTAAGAGAGTTGCCCCAAGTGTGAATTTTTATAGTAGTATCTTTTATTTTTTCAATGTTTCATGCATTCATACAACATAAATTGATCATATCTGTGTAACACTACCTCCCTCAAACTTCCCCTATGTGTGCATGGATGTGCTGTCATCCACTGGGGTACAAGCCATCTACCAGTGGCCACATCCCCAAAGGTGAGTGGCTCTCTTTCCTTCTGCAACCATCTACTCCAATAGCTAGCTGCCTCATGGACATCCTCACATCTGTGCCAGAATTTTGATTATCTTTATCTCGTGCAGGTAACCACAGATGCTGTGAGTTGCTGTGTGCAATGGCCATGTTAAGTTCAGAAATAAGCATTTCCCAAAACTTTTCTGATACTCTGGCTTTTACATTCTTCCCATCTCCCTTTCCATAAAATTCTCTGAGCCTTGAATGGTGAAAGGTTGATAGAGATGACCAATCTGACTGAGTCCACATCTATGGGAACATACACACAGTAGTGGGTGCGCACACACACACACACACACACACACACACACACACACACACACATCTATAGGTACACACACACACACACGCACAACTATATGGAGTCTTGGATATATTGATGATATTGGCTGTCATAATATTTATTACTGTGTAATATAAGTATATATATAATGTATATACATTTATATCAAATCATATGAAATATCTTAAATATATCTTTTTCACTTACACATATATAAAGCAGAAATTTGCACTGGAAACAAATGTTTGATAAATAAAAATAGAAAAGTAAAGCATGAAAGAAGGAAAAGTGAAAGAAGGGAGGACAGGAAGGAATGGGTGGAAGGAAGAGGTAATAAGTTGGCTAGAGAGAACAGAATTTTCTTAGTAACCAAGAATTTCTTTCTTCATTGCTAATCTCTCAAACAATCACACTTTTGAGGAATAAATTATGGCTAAATAATAGCCATGGCAACTGTCTACAACATCTACAATGGCAGTCCATTAATACACTAGAGCACAGGGTTGGTGCACGATTGCCATCCAATAGTCAGTCCTTCATACTTACTGGTGGCCACTATAGCGACTTCAAAAGTTCAGTCTCAGTAGAGAGAAGGTCTTTGCAAGTTTATCTGAGCTCACAGGTTTGTTTCTGCTGACATGCTGGGATGGCCACAACAGAGCTGCTTGTAGAATTTATAGTACTTGGAGCTCTCACATCATAATTTCCAGGCCATAGTCCTCAAATGGATCCTATCTTGGTTATAGATGGATAGATAAGCCAATAGGCAACTTTCCAAGAGATTCCTTCTTGTTGAAATAATAAATCCCTTCCCTGAATCAGAGAAAAATTTCATTTTTGTTGACTTTTTTATTTTCCAGTCTACATTTTTACGTCTATAAATATGCTGAATATTCATGTAATTTGATGTTATGATGTATTATGTCATATGATACATAACTCTGTACTGACATTTGTTTTTATTCTTTTCTTGTGTTTTTCCCCCTTGCTGTATGGAAATCTAACCAACTCCCATCCTCTAACTGTAAGAAGATATTGACTTTACCATTTTTAACGCCTCAAATCTCGCAAAGAAGAAAACCTCAGAGCTCAATGACTCACTTAGAAAGCTTGCTTTTTGGTCACACATTTTCTGATGAAATAGAATTTTTAAGAGGAACAATATTTCTGTAGTTCTATTACTATTACCACTTCATGGTTGAATAGGTTCATAGATTTTCACATTTCATTTGTTAAAAACATTTTTATTCTTTGAGAATTTCATACATGCATATGATGTATTTGGATCATATTCAACTCCAGTCTTTCCTTAACTTCTTCCCAGTCCAACCCCACACATACCCTCTATCCCAGTAATGGCTTCTTGTCCATGGGGTTCATCACACTTACAGTACCAGACATGCCTCTCCTCCTGTGACTCAGACTTCAAACCAATTATGAAAGAGGTTTGTTACCACCATAACATTCATACCACAGTTGTGCTCATGGGCATATCTTTTTGGGTCAGTTATTATTATAGCTCATGGGTATCACAACTTGTTTAGACTATTGATGACTTTTCTCTGCCAGTAGCCTACTAAGCACCTTCTGTTCATATGAAAGCTAGCCAGCAAGAAGGAGACCTCACAGTCAGGACCAACTTCATTTCTCCATGTCCTAAGACCATGGTATGTGGTTTCTTCAGCAATACAGTTTTTGCATCAAGTTCTGGTGGACAGCCAATAACAATGGCAATAGATTGGTAGTCTCCATGACACAGCAAACAACAGTTTGAGGAAACTGGACAATGAGCTTTTTATTTGACATGATATAGCTTTTAGGAAAACCATAACTCCCTTAAATCCTGTATATGGTAGCTCCATTTGAACACACACACACACACACACACACACACACACACACACACACACACACACATGCATGCACATACCTTATGAAATAGTAGATTTCCACATGGATTTTTCAAATGTCTTTACTGTTAATTATCCTTTCCCTACCTCCCATCTCTCTTCACACTTTGCATGGGGAAAAAGATCCATATATATTCCATGTATATATCTTTTTATATCTATATATTTCTATCTTTTTAAAAATCCTTCTAGTTAACTCAGGCAGAGTCTCATTCATGATTTTTCAGTAGGAAACCAAGTTCTCAAAAGATAACATAGTAATAAAAGCCACCTCATCACATTATAATAAAAAACAAGACTTGAGAACACATTCAAATTTTGGTATAGAATTTTTCTCCAAGGAGTTCCAGATCTTCATATTTTCGTTCTTTCTTTGTTTTGTAGCTTGAAAGTTAGCTTATTCCTAAGCCAGGAGAACATTGTGATCTTCTTCGTCAAGTCAACAGACAGTTCATGCCTAGTGGACAAATGCTACAGCCGATGAAGCTGATGGTGATTACTACTGATAAGGAAAGAGATTGAAGGAAATCCAGAAGGTGGCTAAGCAAAGTGGATATTTTGTAGTTATGACCTAAGTTTATGATGGAAAGCAAAGAAGAGAAATGGGTGTTTACTGACTGTCTACTAAATCCAAGGCTAACGAGGACTGTGCAGGTAAGCCCAGCCATTCTGTGATGGTCTGAGTTATTTATCATATTTTCAGAGTGCGGAATGTGATTCTGAGATGGTTATGAAGATCATGTGGCTGGACAATAGGACATTCGAGTCTGTCATTGCAGCAGACCTTAAGTAAAATTGTATTTCTCTATCCCTGCAAATGTATCCACTCGCTCACTCAAAAGAACTGTGTGGCCTTCTACAGTGCATCAGTTCAGGTAGTGAGTTAACAAAGCATGGTATAATACAGAGAGACAGAGCAGGGTTGGAATTTTAATTAGATAAATTGTGCTGTATTATTATCATTGTCAGATTCAATAAATCTCTATGTTTCTGGTCTTCTTTATCCATTCTCTAAGAAAAAGAACACATTTCCTTTCATTTAACTGGTGTTCTCTTTCTGTAATGAAATCTTTAACCGTGTATTCATGAAGTGTTATATTCATACATTTGCATATTCTAGTACCCAAAGGAGTCCTGGGAATTTCAAATTTAATATAAAATGAATTTTGGAATAGAGTCTATCTAATACTTATGCCTCTAGACATTCTCTGGAGAGTTTCAAGTGAAAAAAAAAAAGTTTCTCAAAGCTTCCAAACACATCTAAGAAATGAAATCCTGTTGACAAATACTTTGGCTGAATGCCATTAGCTAAAACTTCGGCTAGCAAATTTTATTGAAGTTTTATGGGAAATAAAAAGCAATTCCATTAAAACAACAGCAACAACTGAACTAATTCCAGGTAGATGTTAAAGACTCTGCTTAGAAAAGAGAGTGTTCTCATCAGTTATTGCTTTTGTAATGGTAGAGTGTGCATAATGACATTTTCTTGCATCTAGCCTCTCTTCTAGGCAGTGAGACATCTCCATGGATATATTTGCCAACATAATAACTGGCGAACTCTTTGTTTTATTTGAGAGATAACATTTGCAATTGCTGGTGAGATCTGGAAAGATCTACTAGATGGGGGCCAGCCTAACAGCATCCTAAGTGTAAAGGCTTTTCTGGCTACCCTGGTGGAGTATCTTGTGTGCTCACTCAGTTTTCCAGAGCATATTTACCAGTTTTCAATGCAATTGTAAAAGATGGGGTCTTATCCAAAGTAGCTTTACAGTTACAAAACTCTGTGTGGTTGAGAGACTAATTTTTTTCTTGTTTTACAAAGATGTACTACTGAACACAGGACTGGCTAAGGACCACTGTAGGAAGGATGGAACTTATGTCTTATGCATTTTCTTGTAATCAACTCAATGTATAGACTCTGAATTTTAGGTCTAACTAAGTATAAAGTAAACTTTTTTTTTATGACACTGCTATGGTTTGGATATGGTCCAAATGACCTTCAAATTTAATCTAACCAGTGCATAAGGATGGGGCCTTTGTGTTAGACAAGGTCATTAGAGTGGGTCTCGGTGACTTAATATTGTGGGGGTGGTTTCATATAAAGGGGAGAGAGATTAAATGGAGACATGCATTCGCAAACTTCCCATCTTTTACCAGGTGATGTCTGATGTCACCCTGGAGTTCCGCCAAACAAGAAAGCCATCCATCTAATGCAGCACATTGTCTTGGCACCTCCAGAACTATGAATCCAACAATCCCCTTTTCTCTATAAAGCAAGCTTGCTTCAGGTGCCCAATTAGAATGAGGAATGAAATAAATTTACACAGAATTCTATCAATCACTTCTCTATTTTTTTAAAATGAATCAGAGGCTTCAGGTACTCAAAATTGAGAGATGTCTTCAATGGGAGTTCATGAGATCCTGTTTTATGTAGAGTGTGTAGTTATTTCCTTCAATACTATTATTTTTATTTTGCCAGACACATTTGATGTTGCCAGTGGCTAAGAAATGCTAGAATTTGGAGGACAATAGCTCACAAGATTGAATGATCAATTTTAGAGTTATTTTTAGGCTGTAACATAGAAGCTGGAAAGATCTTCCAAAGAGTAGAAATCTGTCTGAAGATCCATGTGTGGGACTCAGGCATAAAAAGTCACAGTTACGATCTTGTGGGATATAAAATTCATTTTGAAAAATCCCAGAGAAAAGGTCCTTTTAAGACACACTATTTGAAGGACTGGTGACATCTTACTTGGCACAGAGCCTTTCCCATATGGGGAAAGAACTCAGGTATTTTGCTATAGTTGCAAGGTATGAGCCTCTGCATATCCTTACCAATGCTTACTGCTGTCTGTTTCTGAACTGCCAGTCATCCCAGGAGATGGGACAGAGCAGCTCATCATGGCTTCGATTTGCATTGCTCTAGTGACTAATCAGAGTGAGTATATTTCTGTGTCCAGATTTTCTCTAGGTTTTTAGCCCTGTTTGGCTTTACAGCATGTGGTTTATCTGGGTATTGAGGCTAATTTTTAACCTAGTCGTCTGCTACTATCTTGACATCATATTCAGCAAATCAGTGACAAAACCCTGCCTTAGTGTATAAGGAAGCTTTCTATAACCATAACAAAACACCTAGGATAACCAACTTATAAAGAGATGGGGGCTGATATGGGAATATTTATTTATGGTTTGGGGGATTTCGGTAAAAGACTTAGTGAACTCGGCATTTTGGGTTCAGAACGAGGGCAGCAAATGAAGACAAAGTTAAGGTTGTGGAGGTAACTGCTCACTTTGTGAATGAGGGAGAAGAAAAGAAGTGGAAAAGAACAGAATCCTAAAATCCTCATGGGAAAAACCGAAGGGTTTCCTATTAGGCCCCATCTTTTTTCTCCCCCAGTTTGTTTTGTATTGAAACCATTATTACCACTTAGTCCAGGCTGGCCTCATACTTGTGATCTTCTAGCCTCAGACTTCCCCTCTACAGATGGAATCATAGATATGTCCTTCCATGTCTGGTATAGGCCTCACCCCTTAACAACTGAAGAATTCAGAGAGCAGCAGAAATGGTCTTCTCTGGGGAAGAGGCTATCCTGTCCTCGATTGGTTATCTAATATCAAGTGGTCAGTTCTGAAATAATATACATACAGATAGTACTATATGGACTGAGCAGATTGTATTTAGGAATATGTGCAATTTAATATACATATTACACATTTTAATTCTTGTCAGAGTGACTGTTCCTTGGAAAGTGCTTAGGGAAACAATGATTGGAGGCCCTTGATAAGATCAGAGAGCTCTGGGACTCTGAAGGCCAGAACAATTATTTTTAACTATGTAGGTGGGAAGGGAATCAGAAAAACTTTCATGCAATGAGAGACAGGTAATGAAATATGGAAGCAGTATGAATAATAACTGGAGTATGGAATTGCTATTGTAATTCCTGCAAATGCTGAAATTGTAGTAATTTAGACCTTTAAATTTGGATATAATGTCAATATGATGGAAAATGCAAAATTGCTGGGGTCTAGACCTCTCCATTTTCAATCTGGTCTCTGTCTTTTAGTAGCTGTCTATTCTTTCATGAACACTTTAACCTTTCTGTGGGCCCTACAGTTCACCAGGGCAACTGGCATGGTCTAAGAATTAAATGAGTTCATGGCTATAAAATACGTGGACAAATGCTTCAGGAGAGGGTTTTTCAGACTTAACATAGTTGGTGTTTTTGGTCACTTGATTCTTTGCTGTAAGGAGTTGTTCTAGGACCTTTGGTGCTTACCATCTAGTGTGGCAGTCTCCTACTTTCCAAGCTGTCACAGCCAAAAATGGTTTCAGAATCGGCAAGATGACTCATTGAGTAAAGTCCCTTGCTACCAAACCTGATGACACAAATTCAGTTCCTGGGACACAGAATGTGAATGAAGAGAACTGATTTTTACAAGCTACCTTATGATAGACATACTCCTGCTGTGGCACCTGAACTTATACACGCACGCATGCACACACTCATGCATGTGCAATAAAAAAAAATGCAATTAAAACAGAAGTCTTCAGACATTACCAAGTCCAGTTGGGCAACAAAGTCATCCTTGGCATAGTGATGAAACCATGAAGAACGTAGTTTCTTAAGTGTTGCTTTTGCTGACAGGAAGCTTACACAGAACGTTTGCTCTCCTCTGAGTCAAGGGTAGCTTCTGCATGCTCTGGTTCCTTGGATGGTGGTCTTCCTTTCTACCATTTGTCTTGCTGACTGCTCCAGATCAGATGAGAAATGCATGGCAAAGGGAAATTACCCATAGTGGAAGAGGGCACACAAAGACTGGTATACACTAACCATGGGAAATTAATGAAGAGTAAATTATGTGTATTCACATGTATATATTTCAGTTAGAAGGTAAAGGAAAAGGAATTCTTTGTATGGTTATGAAATGGCCGTATGACACCAATGACACCCAGTCTTTATGACAGATGAGTTCTGATGGATGGGTAGAACGTCTGAGCTTTTACAGACCCAGGGTAGGCTGTAATTAAAGCTATTGGGATTTTAAAAACGTAATTGGCAGGTTTTATCCCTGGACATTTGCCCTTCAGTTTCATGTGTTGGCAAAGGGATAATAAATATCGATGATTTAGCCCCTTTTCAACTGCCACTGTCACGTGAATTTATGAGAACCAGAGGGAATTCACTCCCTGGAAAAGGACAGTAGCATGCTTGACTGTGGATAGCACAATCTTTCCTTATCATTTAGTAACAAGCCATTTTAATTTGCATTTGATAATTTTCTTTATCTTTTGTTTCATACATTTTCTGAGAATAAGTTCTTTGTAGAATAAATAAAAAAGCAAAGTTATGTCAAATTATCTAAGATTAATAATACAGGAGAAAGAGTCAAAATTTGGATTTGGAGATCTACCATGTTTTCCCTTTCCCATAAATTCCCTGCAGTGTGGACCCTGACAGCCTCGGGAGTTTTGACCACTGTCTCTGAGTTCCAACATTATGAAATATGAAGCACTAAAATGAGTGACATCCATGCTGCTGTTTCAAGCCTTCTGTGATCTTGAAGGGGAACCTCTGTTTGCAGAACTGCGTTTAAGCTGAAGGAAATGGTGAGTTTTCCATCATCATAAGAAAACCTGTAAGGCAGCAGACTGAGCAATGCATTTATATTTCACCACATAAATGGTCATTCCTTGGTTGTACAAATCTTATCATAGCAATGACAGTCAAGGGCCTCTCCATATTCAAGCATGAAAAAAAATCTATAAAATTATATTCAATTGGTTAGCAGTCTGTGTCTGAGCTTTAAAAGGCTCACATTTCTTGCTGTGTTCAGAGGAGCAGTTTTTAAAATGATTATGATATAGGAAGCACTTGATCTATGTATGACTTCTAAAATGTGGGCTAAACTGATTAATGTGTTCAATTTATTAAAATGCAGCTCAAAAGTTACTCTCTGGTTTTGTTCGATTGCAAGTAGTTATTTTCCCCCCTCAGAAATATCAATATATCTCTTCTTATCACAGGAATGAATTTCAGGTGGGTAGGACCGAGATTATAGATTTATCACAAATGAAATAAATCTAACATAGAATTTACATTTTAAAAAGGTATATATCAATGAGATATAACTCACTTTGTCCAAATAATTATTGATTAGTATTTATTTATTCCTTGAGTATCACAATAAACTAGAACATTTATGCCAGTGTTTATTTATTCAATTATAAGTAAAACAAATTCAATTTCTTCAGGATTTAATTTCAAGTTTAACATCAGCTTAGTGTGGCTTAAGTAAATTTTCACTTTTTAACTGGAAACACAAAGAAAAATGTTTTTTTGTTAGTCGTAAGTGCACTGGATGGAAATAACGTAAAGACCGAGGGTTAGAAGAAGCTGAGAAAGAGCTAAAGCTTGCTTCTAAAACTGGGTAGCTTCGGTGTTAAATAAGCTTGCTGTTCTTCCAGAGGACCTGAGTTCAGTTACCAGCACCCAACAGTGGCTCACAACTTCCTGTATCTCCAATTCTAGGGAATCTGATGCTCCCTCTGGCCTCTATTGGCACCTGTACACATGTGTGCATGCACATATACCTACAAATAAATATAAATATTTAAAAGTAAAGGCTACATGAGTAGCTGAGTGGAAGGAGATATCAATAATTAAGGTAATAGTTTGACCTTGGGATTTATGGATTAAATGAATGATTCCTTTCTTCCATGTGCCTTTGATCCTGAAGATGTAATGTCTTGTTTATAGATCTGCCTTCCTCCTCCTCCTTTGTTTCATCCTCTTCATCCGCTGTTAGAGGGCATTAGGTTGGTCTCATGGTGAAATGAGAGAAAGTGAGAATTTGACATTTTAGGTACCCCAATGAGGTGATATTGTGTCCCCCAATATATTGTGCACCTTAATAAACTTATCTGGGGTCAGAGAACAGAACAGCCACTAGATATAGAGGCCAGAAAATGGTGGCACACACCCACCTTTAATCCTAGCATTCAGGAGGCAGAGATCCATCTGGATCTCTGAGTTCAAAGTCACACTGGAAACCACCAGCCATGGTGACACACACCTTTAATCCCAGGAAGTGATGGCAGGAAGCAGAAAGGTATATAAGGCGTGAGGACCAGAAACTAGAGCCTGGTTAAGCTTTTAGGCTTTTAGCAGCAGTTCAGCTGAGATTCATTCTGGATGAGGACTCAGAGGCTTCCAGTCTGAGGAAACAGGATCAGCTGAGGAACTGGTGAGGTGAGGTAGCTGTGGCTTATTTTGTTTCTCTGATCTTTCAGCTTTCACCCCAATACCTGGCTCTTAGGTCATTTCTTATTTAATAAGACTGTTTAGAAATTCGTCTACACCCCAAAGGCTTTCTTGCATTGAGATTCATTTAGGACTGCTCAGCTGATTATTTTGGAGTTCCTGGAATGGCAACCTTGATCAGATTCACATGAATTAAAAATGTTGAATATTCTTGGTCTTAGGGGCCAGGAAGGATCAATCGATCTGTCTGTCTGTCTGTCTATCTATCTATCTATCTATCTATCTATCTATATCTATCTATCTGAAGAATTGATTTATTTGTCACTTATTTTAGCTAAACATTACGTACGTCACTTTATGTATGAAGCTGATAATGTTGTCTGTATATCAATGAGTCAGAAAATATACCTGAAGAGACGCTCTAGCACTAGAACAGCTGAGCCTCATATTCACCTAGATTTAATACATAGAGACCTGTACTAAATAGTCCTCATCTACAATTTGTTTATCAGCTATTATGGTCTCAAGCTAGCAGACAATGGAATCTAATACTCATGGAGCATGGTGATAAACACTAGGGAAATAAAAAATGCTGCTGGAGCTGAGTGAGGAGCAAGTGTATTTACTCAATGGGGACACAGGAATATCTTCCTGTGAAAGCACATATTTGAGATCAGTTCCCAAGAAACAAAACAATGTTTACAGACTGAGATGGAGGCTGGGGTGTGGCAGAAGAAAGAAAGGGCTCAGCTAAATTCACCAATACAAGAAAATACTGTAGCGGTCTTAAAAAACCTTATGGAGGTTTGAATGCAAAAGTTCCAAGCTTTCCGACCAAATCATTGAGCTCTGTGGTATTCTTCTTTGTGAGATTTGAGGTGTCAAAAATGGTAAGGTCAAAATCTTCTTTCAGTTAGAGGGTGGGAGTTTGTTAGATTTCCATTCAGCAAGGGGGAAAAATCCAAGAAAAGAATAAGAACAAATGTCAGTACTGAGGTAAGTACCATATGACATAACAAATCGTAACATGAAATTGCATGTGTATTCAGCATATTTATAAACTTAAAAATGCATATTGAAAACTAAAAAAGTCAACAAAAATGATTTTTTTCTCCGATTCAGGGAAGGGATTTATTTCAACAAGAAGGAATCTCTTGGAAAGTTGCCTATTGACTTATCTATCCATCTATAACCAAGATAGGATCCATTTGAGGACTATGGCCTGAAAAGTATGATGTGAGAGCTATAAGTGCTATAATTTCTACAAGCAGCTCTGTTGTGGCCATCCTAGCATGTCAGCAGAAACAAACCTGTGAGCTCAGATAAACTTAGAGAAAAGTCTCGTGAAGACTTTCCCTCTACCAGGACTGAACTTCTGAAGTCGCTATAAGTGGCCACCAGTAAGTATGAAGGACTATTGGATGGCAATTGTGCACCAACCCTGTGCTCTAGTGTATTAATGGACTGCCATTGTAGATGTTGTAGACAGTGGCCATGGCTATTATTTAGCCATAATTTATCCCTCAAAAGTGTGATTGTTTGAGAGATTAGCAATGAAGAAAGAAATTCTTGGTTACTAAGAAAATTCTGTTCTCTCTAGCCAACTTATTACCTCTTCCTTCCACCCATTCCTTCCTGTCCTCCCTTCTTTCACTTTTCCTTCTTTCATGCTTTACTTTTCTATTTTTATTTATCAAACATTTGTTTCCAGTGCAAATTTCTGCTTTATATATGTGCAAATGAAAAAGATATATTTAAGATATTTCATATGATTTGATATAATATATATATTACAAATATTATGTACATTTATATTACACAATAATAATTTCTACTCCAACCAAATTCAACCATATATCCAACACTCCATATAGTTGCTGTGTATGTGTGTGTGTGTGTGTGTGTGTGTGTGTGTGTGTGTGTGTGTGTGTATGTGTGTGTGTATATATATATCCATAGGTGTGTGCCCTGGCAGATTGGTTATCTATATCAACCTTCCACCATTCAAAGCTCAGAGTAGTTCATGGAAAGGGAGATGGGAAGAATGTAAGAGCCAGAATATCAGAGAAGTGTTGGGAAATGCTCATTTCTGGACTTAACATGGCCATTGCACACAGCAACTCACAGTATCTGTGGTTACCTGCATAAGATCAAGATACTCAGAATTTCAGCATGGAAGGGGAAGAGGTCCACGAGGCATCACTTGTATTGGAGGAGATATTAGAGTAGATGGTTACAGAGGGAAAGAGAGTCACTTACCTTTGGAGATGTGGCCACTGGTAGATGGCTTTTGCTCCAGTGGATGACAGCATATCGATGCACATATAGAAAGTAATAATTGGGCTCGGGGGTTATTAAAAATAGCGAAGAAGAGGACATGAATTTGGGTGGAGGATGAGGTAGAGAGAACTAGGAGAAGTTTGAGGGAGGTAGTGGTGCACAGATATGATCCATTTATGTTGTATGAATGCATGGAACTGAAAAAATAAAAGATACTATTATAAAAATTCACACTTGGAGGCAACTCTCTTAGTAATCTCAAATATATATTATGGAATCATGTAAGTATAAGCACCATACTATAAATAATCATTTTATGGACTTTTATAGATATAAGTACAAGATTTATCCAGGGGAAAAAATCTTTACTAAAATTTGTTCATGCTCTGTGAAGCAATCTTCTATTAATCTACAACATGCTGGAAGAAAAAGTCATGCCCTAAAGAAAAAACAAAGATCAAGAAAAAAAAAAACCAATGGAAAAGTTCCCATGCAAGGAGAGTCTGACTAGTTCTTACTTCTTTAGTTCTTACTTCTATTTCCTAGTGGTAGTGATAATAATAATTGCAATACTTCTTGGGCAGAAAGACGGCTCAAAGGGTAAAGGCATTGGCTGCAAAGTTTGAGGATATGAATTTAACCTCATGAACCCACATTGTAAAATTAAGACCTGACTCCAAGCAGAAGGCTGACTAACAGCCATTAACAGACATCATCTCCCTATTGAGAGACTCCTAGAAGGCTCAGTCCCTGCACTGGACACCTGGTTTCCCAGTCCCTAGCACAAGTCCCATGAGATAGAGGGAGTAAACAGTACAGCATCTCATCTCTCCATCAACTAGAAATCATTTTTTTCCTCATGGGCGAGCCCCTCTCCTTATTGAGGTCACTTATACTTCTGTAGAAATAGTCCACTGTTAACTTTTTTTTTTTTAACTTACGTGTCTTTTTTAGAAAAATTACTGAAGTGTGAGGGCCTAAAGAATTATCAAGTTATTTGGACCAAATTACTTAAAAACATTTTTTTGGTGTGATAATTATGTGGAAAAAATTCCTGAGATTTTTAATGAATTGAATATTTAACAAATTGAGGGAGATATCCTGAGATACTTAACAAACTGAAAAACTGGAGGCAATACAAACATTCAAGTCTGAATGATTCCTGGAGGTTATATAAGTGCCATGAATCAGAGCAAAATTTCTTTGAATCCCTTTGTTATGAATCATTCTTTCCATATCACACTGTGTGAGCAACTTCATCATAGTTGAGATCTTGTCATGGGGAAAATCCCAGATTCTCAGATGTTATTTTCATGTAGTCCTTGACCCAGTTGTGACCGTCAACCAGTCTTCATCTTTGATGCTGATTCTTTGTTACCCTCATGCACCTCCTTCTTCTAGCTTAACTTGGGTTAGAATTCACGCTTCAGTCTGTTTTGCCAAAATAGTCGAAGCGCCTTTTTCTACCAAATATATTGTCAACCCCTTTGCATCCTTTTTGACTGCCATACTTATTTATATTCACTCAACTTGATACTCCGAATACTCCCTCTTCTGTCTGCACGCATTAGTGTGTAGCCAGAGAAAAGGACACAATTATGAGGCCTCATCATTGTCAATGAGATTCTGACAGGGCTTTTTTAAAAAATGAAATAAGAAATAAAGGATTAGTGACTGGATGTTAGAATTTGAAGGAGGGCTGCAGAGCTGGCTCAGCAGTTAAGAACATTTGCTGTCCTTCCAGATGACGTGAGTTTGGTTCCCAGCACCTAAGTCAAGCTGCTCACAACAATCTGTGATTTCAGCTCTAGGAAATCTGACGCCTTTGACCTCTGCTGGCACCTGCAGTCCTGTGCACACACCCCATGTATATAGGCACACCTACGCATAATTAAAAATAATAAAAATGCATCTTGACAGGTCCAGCCCGCTGCCTGCATGGCACAGGCTGGGTGGAAGACAGCCAGTCAGATGCCACAGGACCGGACTGCTCTGGACACTACTCTGATGAGCAAGTAATGTGGTGGATAGATGGGAGAGAAAGAGAAACGGAGCAGTTTAGGTGCAGTGGAGAGAGGCAGAACTGGAGACATGATGGTGGTGAGTAACAGGCTAGCATGAGTAGCCTGTGCTGTGACCTGTCATGTCCAGGCCTGAGATGCCCCTGGGGGCCATGTCTGGGTCCATGGCCCTACTGCAGCCAGGGTCTGTGTTTCTATTAGTGGTCCGTGTTACCCCCAAATGCCATGTGGATGCCTGTGGTCTGGGCTGCCACTTGGGGCTGTTTTAATGACCGAGGGCATGCTGCCACCAGAGCCGTACTGATCTGAGTGGCCTGTGCTGCCAGCTGAGGCCATGGTGACATCTGGACCCTACCACAGCTGGGGTCTGTGTTGATGTCTGTCACCTGTGTTACCACCAAAGGCCGTGCAGATGCCCATGGTCTGGACTGCTACCTGAAGCCACATGATGTGGCTTGTGCTGCCACCAAGGGACAAGTCTGAGTCCATAGTTCTACCACAGCTGGGGTCTGTGTTTATTTCCATAGCTTATGTTACCTCCAAAGGCCATGAGGAAGCCTGTATAGCCTGGACTGCTACTTGAGGCCATGTTGATGTCTGAGGACAGAGCTTAGCTGGTGCTGCCACTCAATGGCTGATGCAGTGGTAGAGCTGGCCTCGCCCTTCACAGGAGAGATGGCCCTGATGGTGAGAGGGAGAGGTGACCCCATTCCGTGTGTGTGTGTGTGTGTGTGTGTGTGTGTGTGTGTGTGTGTGTGTGTGTGTGTGTCCTAGTGGAGGCCTGGGCTTACCAACCCAGCTATCACCTAGACACACATCCAGGGCTTTGAGATGTTGGGCACACCCCAATATCTACACCATTCATGAACTGCTAGATCATGCAAAAGGACCAGTCCTGAGGAACCAAAGCTGCAGGATCTTCATGACTTGGGGCAACAGCAGGATATCTGAGAGGAGTCTCAGTGAGGGTACAGTATTGATGGTGTAGCAGAAGCCAGAGGCCTGAACCAGACCAATGAATGACTCATTGCAATGAATATTTACAAGTAAAGCTCTTTGGGCAAAAGGGTATGCTGCATGACACACCAAAGTTCCCAATGCCTCTATGATGGTAAATGGAATACGTGATGGAGAGGAGGAAAAGATGGAAGAGTGAAGTGATTTCTTTTTAAAATTTTTATTTCTATTGTTTTCTTTTGTGTGAGAGGCTACAAGGTTGGAGGGCAGATATGGAAGGACTGGGAAATGAGTGGGATTGTGGTACATGATGTGAAATTCCTAAAGAATCAATACAAAATTATATACATATATATGTATATATAATTTTTATTTATAAATAAATAAATAAATAAATAAATAAATATAAATACATCTTTAAAAAACCCAAACAAAGAAAAATATTTTGGAGGAGATGAAGATGTAAAAGAGATATCTCATAAAATAAAACTGTTAGTAGACCAGGGTTACCAGGGAACATCAATTTCTGTCTTATTAATGATCTTTTTTTTTTTTTCCTGCTTTGAACCACTACCTTACAGGATTCTTGGATCCTGTCCTCCTGGCTTTTCACTTTTCTCTTCAATCATCATCTGTTTCACCCACTACTGGTGACACTCCCTGTGTTTACCTGTCACCCCAGCACCTGTAACAACCTGGCATAGGCATCACTGGTCCAGGACAGAGGGAACAGTTTAGGTAGAAAATTTAGGAAGCCTTTAAATGGGATCTTAGAGAGTTGATGGCATTACATCCAATATTTTGTTTAGAAGGGGAAAAGGAATTCAGAGGAATATACTGCTACAGCTGAAATTAAAAAGAGGGAGGAAGAAAAGGAGGAGAAGGAAAGAAAAAAAACATATCTGGAAATAGTCATTTACCTTCCATCCCAATTGTAGCATGGTATGTCTATATGAAATTCAGAGTAGAATGTCCCTTGGGTGTTCAGGTATATGTGTGTGTGTGTGTGTGTGTGTGTGTGTGTGTGTGTGTGTGTGTGTGTGTGTGTGTGAGTGTGAGTGTACATGCCATTGAACGTACATGGATATCAGAGGATAACTTCTTAGACACTATATGATGCAAGAGAGCCAGTCACACAGCTTCTAAGACCCTGTGTGTGGATTAAGTAATTCTGGCCCTATTTGAAAAATGTAATTTTTCACACCATTCAGTGATTTGTTATCTAGCAGTTTCAATTGTACTCCTCTTTGTCTTGTTTCATGATTCTAGGGGCAAATTTTAAGAAGTATCTTAAATTTTTTTTTTTACTTGAACATAATGCTAAGCCTTGCCTACAGAGGGCACCAGAGGAACGTTGCAAGAGACCATTTCTGCTCCTTCCAGCCTCCTTGTTTCTAGGGCACAGGGTCAAAACAGTAGCTTTGTAGGTAGTTTCACTAGCACCCCAGTGGGGACTTTCCAAGTGTGTTCCTCGGGCATGCTAATGTGGAACTTCCTAAGAAGTCCTGTGTTGTCTGATTTTCTTTTCTTGTCACTCTCCACACGAACCGACTTAGAAATGTGGCCATTTACAGGGCAATAACCACTTCCTCTATGAAGACCTAACCTTAGCTGGTGGATAGGTGGTTATGACCAAAACCCATCCTATACACGTATGAAATATCTCCAAGAATAAATGAAAGTATAGTTTTAAAGAACACCGTCAGATTCCTTTGCTCATATCCCGTGTTTCCCAACCTTCCCGAGGCTGCCACACTTTAATACAGTTCCTCATGTTGTGCTGACCCCCAACCGTAAAATTAATTTGTTGCTACTTCATAACTATCATTTTGCTACTGTTTTGAATCGTAATGAAAATACCTGATATACAGTATATCTGATATCCAACCCCCAAAGGGGTTGTGACTCACAGGTTGAGAACCACTGCTGTGATCATTTTGAGTGGCATGTGAAAATGATGCTTTCTTTTCTTTCTTGCTGCAGACATGCTAATGAAACAGATATTTGAATGATAACAAATAGAATAAGGTGAACTTGATACTTAACTACAACCTGTTGAAACCGTATCATGCAAAATATATAACTCATCAAATGTGGAAACCTAAACAAATAAAACGCGACTCATCAAAGGTATCAAACCAATGGAGAGAAATAAAAACACCGGAAACATCTTTGTTAGTTCTTAGAGAAACTGATGTTTTTGTCTAGAGTTCTTGTCTGGAGACAATTTTTAGACTAGACTAGTGGGTATGAAGTCATATTTGTGTGTTGGCCTCCTGTTTTGTACCTCAACTGTAGAAGATATTTTGTATTCTGTCCACGGCTGTTTTGTGTAACAAGCGTGGTCCTACTCAGCCCCAAAGCCTCACATACTTGCTTCACTTTCTGTGAGAAATTTTGCTAGTGTTATAGACATTGCCTTCTCTGACACTGATGGCCAAAGGGCCAAACAAACAAACATGGCTATGTGCCCATAAAACTTTATTTGTAAAACAAACTATAGGCTACTTATCGTCTATGGCTTCAGCTTGATCACTCTTGTTCTAGAGCTCAATAGACATGCAATAAATATTCACTTAAAATGTAAAAAAAAAAGGATTATTTTTGTGTTTTTTCTCTTTCTCATAATACACGCTATCAAGATATAATTGTATAACAAATAGAAGACTAGTCATAATGGATGACTTAGGAGTCTCTGTAGGGTAACTACACTGCGGATATCAGCCACCTTGCCCATATGGATGGACACTGAAGTCCTGGGGCACAGGATAAACTCCATGCTTGATTAAAAGCAACCCAAAGGTGAGGGTTCCTTCGGAGGTGCTGCAGTCTGCAGTCTTCTGTTTTTCATTTTCACGAGCGGCTCAGAGCTGTCCTTAATCCATCATGTGCCTCTTGAGTGTGTGCTCTGGGTCCACTGTCATCATGAAAAACTACCTCATGAACTTAGTGGAGGAGTCAGGACTGAGTCTGAACTATTTACATAGGTCCTGGAGAAAATGTCATCCAATGGGGAAGACACAATCCAGGAGGCGTTTCAAGCATTTATTTTGACATAGAAATATTATCAGAGGTACCCATTTTTATTAAGGTGCCTGTTACGTCTATAAATCCGGTTAGGCAACTGTCATTAGTGAACTATTAATGAACTCCTAGTCACTCAGTTTGAGGATGCTCATGCCATCATATTACTCAGATCTGCCTCTGCACCTTGAGCCCACCCTACTAATGTATTTCAGCCCTCTTGGAATTGCTGCCTCCTGTTCTTCATGATTCTAATTGGTTTTCCTTTCTCAGCCAGACTAATCTTCCTGGGGCACGAATCTAATCATGTCAATATTTTTCTCAGAAACCCCAAATGATTCCCTTTTGCCTTCAGAGTGAGTCTAATCTCAGCCAGGTGCCTCAGTGCAGGCTCCGTTTATATCCATATTTCTCTACCTCTCCCAAATATATCTATTTCTTTCATGGAAATTTGCCAACTCAGATCCAGGGCACCAGTTAATTGAATTTAAGATAATGAATAACTTTTTAGTGTGGATGTATCTCAATATTGCATGGGGAATTGTCATACTAAAACTCTCATGGCTTGTGTGGAGTTCATATTTAATAGGGGACCTTGTGTTTTTATTGGTCATTTCATCAACTAAACTTTACCACTCACTGTGTTTACTAGGTTCAAATAATATTTGTTCTTACCTATATATCGTGCTTTTCAGCTTCTATGATTTTGCTAGAATTTCTTCCTAGTCCCTTAAATGCCTTAAATAATGTGGCTATCGGTGGCCTAGCTCTATGATCTGGTCAAATGGTTTGCTCTATGGTCTTCCTTTTCCTTACCCACATGAGGGAGATAATAGCACCAACCTTGGGTGATTATTGCAAGGTTAAGTTTTGAACTTTATCAGAGCTTTCTAACAACACGTAGGTCATGAAAGAGTTCCACAAATGACAGTGTTCTTTCCCCTTACAGCGTTTCCTTTTGTGCTTGAGAACCCACAAAGCCTTGACGTGTACCTGTGAATTCCAAGGCAATACGTGCTCACACTCATGCAGAAGATGAAACAAAAAGTCAATCTCATAGGAGCTGAAGGTAGACATGTTATTGTTTTATCTTTGGTCACCAGACTCTGGGGATAGTAAAGGTGTATCCAGGATGGATGGAGAAAGGTTGAACCGAGTTACAGCTAATAGGAGAAATAAGTTTGTATGTGCTATTATTTAATAGGGTAAGTATAAATAGTGATTACACATTGTGTGTCTTAAAAAATCTAGATATTGGATGTTTCTATCATAAGAAATAATGGATATTTGAGGGAATATGTTTAACCTGATTGAAAAATTACACTGTGTGCATATATGTGTGTGTTTGCATGTATAGTATCAAAGCACCAGTTAGTACCTTAGTAATGTTTACAATGTTTAGGTTTTGTGAACAATCTAAAGTTAGAATTGAAGAAGAAATTTATAATGTAGTTCAAAATAAAATTACTTGAGGCAGTCATTTCAAGCCTTGTAACCATAACCATAATCAGACTTAAGACACACAACTCTGTGGTAGTATGTGGTAATTGATGTTTATCTAGGTCATGGTAATTTTAGACAGTCATCACAACACAGAGAAGTATGGTTAATCCTGTAGCAAAGGACTTCACGGAAACCTAGGGACTACATTCTAGCTTGCTAATTTGTATGTTCCTTACTCTTTTCCAGAATGGTCATCTTTTGACAATGTTTTGGGATCCATCTTTTTTTCTCCATTGATTTTTTTTTCTGCAGAGGGTAGAGCTACATTTTTTTTAGTAAAGTGCTAATAAACAAAACAAATTATCAAATATTGACCTCTTCTGTAGCTTTCAAGTGATGTTGTAGTTGTATGTCTAGCCAACTCCGTCCTTGGATCCAAGACTACTCCATGAGAGTGTGTTCATGGCTTCTCTTCTGGGAAGAGGACTTGTCTGGGCAGGACATGCTGGGACAAGCAGATATATCCTTTCAGGTATGGGTATTGTCAATCTCTGGTGGTTTCTTCAACTGTAAGTCCCTGTCTGGTTCCTCTTGGTATTTATATACCTTACTGGGTGCAACAGAGGGATGTTTTACTACTCAAGGTGACACTGAAGGGCAGCCAATGAGTCTGAGCTTTGAGAAATTGCAAACTAACCTTGTATCCTAGTTTTTGCCTTCCAGATTCAGTCTCTTACAATAATACAGTGATAATAACTCCATTTATTATTATTATTATTATTATTATTATTATAGTTTGGAGCTATTGATTTGTATAACCATATACTTTCTAATTAAAACAATTGGGTCAAAATAGGAACTGGGAAGCACCTGCCAGGAGAGTTGCATAGAGTAGCAAGAATCACCTGTAAGCATTGTGCATTTTGGAGCAGGCTGCATAAATGGCCCCTCAGCAAAGTGAAGAAAACAGAAAGAAAACAAATTGGAAAAAGGCAGCTGGGTGAGAGGAAGGACTCCTGACAGGCTACACGGCTGAGAAAACATACAGGAAAAGTGTCTAATAATTTAGTGAGACATAGTTTATGATTTGTGACCTCTCCTTCATTTCTTCATGAAATGTTTGGAATAGTTATAGTACTCTATAAGCTTTGGGTTTATCTTTACTTTTAGTGTGCAGGATGAATAATTTGGGTGGTAGGATGGGTGACTGTATGGACCATATCAACCAATGGAACTCATATTTGGTTCTCACATAGGTTATTGCTTCAGTTTGCATCAAAGAATAATTTTATTGCTTTTTTTTATACAGCTGAAATAATGAAGAAAGCCTAAGGCAAGAGATTGAAAGATATGGTCTAATGTACAAGGCATCCTTCCTCTTTGTTGTGTTAGATGATCTTACTAATAGACTAATCTGGGAAAATCATTCGCAGGTTTTTATGGGGTCTGAATGCTATTACAAGGATGAAAGCAATTTCCAAACCATAAAAGACTCTAAAGGTAAAAGATGTCATTGTTTAAGCTTACAATTTACACATGAAGTCTTTTAGTTCTTTCATTTTTTTTTTTTTACAATGTCTGCCGCACGAGTAGCATGGGAAATGCTCAGAAATTGCTGAGAAAAAAAATGAATGAATGCTTGGGGTCACCTATCTCCTCCCTATGTACCACTCTTAAGAAATTCATTGACAAAAGAATGCCAACTGTGCTTGTTTGCTGTGGGATATTGGACAGATAATACAAGCAGGAGTGATTTAAGTGAGGGTCACATTGAAGAATTCAAATGGGACTCAACAGTGAGAACGGTCGCAGAGGACATTGAATCACATCCCCTCTGCAGAGTTTAAAGAGATTGGATTCTGTTCTCTTTGGAGCAATTGAAGTCTAATCTTGATGAACTTGAAGATCTCTCAGCATCTTTTCTATCCCTTTAATCTTGGGATTAAAATGAACCTGAAATCTTTAGTGCCTGGGGAAGCAATTGATGTTCTCTGTATGAGTTTAGATAACACTGAGTAAGGAACCAGTATGTAGCTTGGCTGCTTCTCATTTGGCTACTTTTAAGTATATTTACAGTAAGCATTGCTGATGTACAATTTTTTTTAAAAAAAAATCTTAAAACATGTTGTGGACCTTTTTGCTTCCAGTGAATCTTGCTGATGGCATACATTCTCTTACTCAGGATTCTTTGGTGTGAGTCATAATGATAAAGTGTGACTTAGAGTCCTATGATTCACTTCAAGATGGCTCTTATTATTTACAGAATAATGCAGATGAATCACTTCGGGTATTTCAAAGGCCTTACATAAATACACAAATAATACATCCCAGTTTCTGACCATTGCAGCTTTTACAATGATGGTAACATACAAAGAAATTATGGCATCACCATAAATTTCTTTCATGGTCTTCCAAGCCAGGTGGCTCTTCCTCTTACAAATGTCTTCAGATGAGGACAAGGCAGTCCCTTTCACTAGTCTGGAACTTTATCCATGCATGGATCATGCATGCATGAAGGGATTTATTTACTTATGAACCTTTAATGGTAGTACGATGGCCTCACACACGATGGAGTGGCTGCTATGAAAAAGACAAAAGATACTGAGTGCTGGTAAGGATGTGGAGCAATCCAAAAATTTGCTGTGCTGTTGTTAGGAATGTGAATTAACATTGCTACCGTGGGAAACTGTTTGGCAGTTCCTTAAACTAGAAAAAGAACTATCATGTGATCCAGCAATCCCACTACTTGGTGTATATGGAAACAAATGAAGTCAATATCCTGAAGAGACATCTGTGTTTCCACATTCATGCTGTGGTGATCACAATTGCCAAGGTATGGAATCTAGCGATGCTGTATTATCTTTGGGAGGTGGAGGACATTGCAACTGTGTCCCTGGAACTTTCTTTCCCATTTCCAGTGCTGTAGCTGGGTCACAAGAAGCATGAAAGGGGGCCAGGAGAGGACTACCTTGACAGGTGTTATCTGAATGAACACGGACTTCCCTCATGTTCGGTGGGATAAAGCAAAGTAGTGTTTTATGTATAAGGGGAAAATAAAATCTGCCTTTGTGATTGGTCCTTGGGATGCTGGCCAAACAGTGGAATGATGTCAGTCAATGCTGAAAACTCCTTAGACTGTAAACAACATGGTGAGTGGGTACAGAGAACAGTGGACTGGATAGAAATGCTTTATGTTTACCTGGCTTCTAGGGGACAGTTCCAGTCAGTAACTTTTAATAAGTCTTATGTCTAGTATGCTATCTTTGAGTATTTTCTGTGATTTCTTGGTAACTTACTCCACCATCGCTGTAGACAGAACATATATGTACATCTATGGATGAATCAATAAAGAAAACATTATTCAGACTTTACAAAGAACATTCTTACTTTTATAACAGATTGTATGGAACTACAGGATATTGTACTAAGCAAAGTAAGCCAGCCACAGACAGAACCAATCAATGTGGTCTCACATCCAATTGATAAAAATGTTGACTTCAAAGATGTAGAAAGTAGAATAGCCACTGAAAGGAGGGCTGGGGGTGGAGGTTGGGGAGATGCTGGTCACAGACCATAACATCTAGCTAGATAGAAAAAAACAACTCCAAGAATTCTACTGTGCAAAATGGTGACTGGAGTTAATAACAATATACTACATTTAAGAAAATCTCTAAGAGAATATATTTTAAGTGTTCTTACCACAAAAATAGCTATGTGTGGCTATATATATGTGTATGTATATGTGCATGTATATATATATATATATATATATGTTAGTATATATTGACTGATTTGATTCAGTTGTTATGCAACATAAACATAATTCCAAAGAATATATTATTGATGAAAAATTATACCATTTTTAGTTTTCAGTTGAAAAAGATTATATGGTGATTTCTGCCTCTGGGATCCGGGACTGGGCACTGATGTGTAGTGCCTGAAACCATGAGTCTGAATTCTCATTCCTGCTCTCTAGCCCTCAGGTTCTTCTCCATATCCTATCCTATATTTTCAAAACAGAATGACATCATACCTAAAGACCAAAAGCACCTGTAGCCAGCATCATAGATGAATGGTGCTTTGAAATCAGAAAGGACTTCAGAAGCAAAACCAGACAGATAAATGAAAAGACAGATTATTTGTACCAGTGTATATAAGGTCAGAATAGCTGAATTATGTTAGGCCTTGTCATATAATAAAAACATTTATAAAGATGGCAGGGTTTGTCTAACTCCAGGAGAAACAAAAAGGGTGTACACTGGGCAGTCTCTACCTGGGTTCCAGGGAAACAGTTGCTAATCATTACTTTAAGCACCATGGCAGGAAGTCTTAGCCTAGAAAGAGATGCAGTGTTGTAGACCTAGAAGAGTTCCTATCAAAACCCAGGTCAGCATAAAGTAGTGGGTACATTAAGATGGCCAGGGAAAGAAGTGGGGAATTGTCATCTGACTATGAGTACAGTCACCACAAACTCCCAGTAACAGTGATCTCTCTTCATTTTTACTTCAAATGATTTCAAGAGACACACGTGGAAAGAATAAAGAGAATATACCGTTATCCACTTTCCCTGCCCCTGCAACCAATAACACATCATATTTTCCTCTATAGCCACCGTTTGTCAAATCCATTTGTCCAGAATGAGTATGGTTCTTAGCTATATTTTGCCTGTTTTGGACCAGAAATGTTGTCTCCTTTTGACAAGTTATTCCCCCAGCAGGGGATGTAGCTGCATCAGTCTCAGACAATGAAACGTATATTGTTGATTCTGTGCATAATTGGTATAGTGTCTGTGGTTAATATTCATAGAGTGGGAGGTTTTTTTTATGTCTCTTTGTTGAGAGTGTGCTCTGCTATGTTTAGACTGCCATACACAGTTCCACAGGACAAAGCTTTCATAAAATATAATCAAAGGAATGAGGAAAAAAATAAAGTTGTAAACATATATCAAACAAAAATTCAGTTTAAAATATCAGGTTCAATAGGCATACGATTATATTATCAAATCGCTGTAAAATTGCTGAGAGCTTGATCCAGAATTTTGGTTCTGAGTGCACTGAAAATTGGCAACAGAAAATTTTCAGTTTTCCACTTGGTATGCACGGATGGAGTGCATTTTCCACGTCCTGCTTACCAAGTCCATGAACATTTATTGCAGTGGGCTATTGTCATGGTCTGTGACATGATCAGATTATTAAGTTCCTGATAGCTTAGATTATAGCTGGTCTGGAAAGTGAATGTATTTCTGAAAGAAGACAGAAATACTCTATTGATATTCTTTTTTCCTTTATAAAACAGAGGGAAGGAGAGAGAGAGGGAGGGAGGGAAACAGAGAAAAAGTATGAACAGAGAGGGAAATGAGAGAAAGCATGTTGGATTGCACCAGCTAGTAACTATCAGGTACTGGGGGGTTGCATTGATTTGTTGGAGTGGCAGCTACCATTGAGATCATTCTTGCTAAGTCTGTAATAATCTACTATAATTCAAGATTCATCTTGCCCGTCTGATAGGTATGTGGTAGGAATTCATTCTCCTAGCTCCTTTAACTGATATTCTGGTCTTCATCTCTATAGCCTTTTCAGGAATGGAGTTCTGATTTTTCTCTTCCTTGACATGGATTAGAAGTGTCTTATTTCATGGGGCCAATTGGGCCTCTGCCAGCTTGAAGTTCATTACAGCTGAACTGGTACATCTCTGTGCTTATCTGTGGGTAATATGAGTGTCTCCTATTGACCCAGTCAAGATAAAGATAAGATATACAGGCTAGTGATATTTCACAGCATGTTAAAACTTCAAAAATCCCTTTGTAGAGACCAAAGCTGTCTTTAATTTTTTTGGAGGGGTGGGGGATTCATGCAGATCTATGTATTATGTCTGGTTTAATTAGCTACATAGACTGGCTATAGCTGTGTGATGGGAGAGATGTAGAAGTGTACATTGTAAGTTTTTGACTCTCACATTCCTGGGGGTGTTCAGCCTCACATTGAGTTTTGTTAGTCAACAAAACCTATGAAAGTAATAAGGTGAATAAAGGTATCTAATATAAGTTAGGATTTAAACTAAAAAGACGTGTGAGAATGGCATGGGGGATGATGCAGCAAGAAGGCTACAGTAATCAACTGGCATCGGTGTAGGTGAAATTAATTTAGTGGTGCCATTTACGTGGAAGGAGACCCACATCTGCAAGGAAAGACTAACAATTCTAGTCCTTTTTACAGATCATGGTTAGTAAACCTGAAACGTTTGGGCACATGATGTGAGCCTATGCGTGTTCTCTTACCTGAGAAATACACCCCTCAGGACCAAGCCTGCTTTATCACAAGGTAGTAATTTGTGATTTTCCTTCACAGGTTTTACTTTGTTCAACCATGTGTTTGTTCATTTGCTATGACTTCTGTCCTCATATTCAATTGGTATGATGTCAGTCAGCTTTCAGGTTCACTGATGATATTTGGAATTTATTGTTTCCTGATTTGAAATCTTAATAGATATGCTATTATCATTTATATGAACTGAATAGTCTATCTTGTAGTATGCATAGAATACATTTGTACTTAATAAAAGTTTTTTTGGTAAAATGTTTTAGAGTTTGAGTCCTCCCCTCCCACTGTTCAAAGGTGTTTTCCTTTTATTTAGTTATTTCTTGGTAGGATTTTGGTTTTAAAGTAGCTCTCCTAATTAAAAAAAATGTTTAAAATACAGAAATATATCCCAAGTGCATGTTTTATATTGGAAAAAGTTGAGGTCCAGAGAATAACAATCTTGTTTCAGGTCACAGAGTGAAATGATACTGGATCTGGGAATTAAGTCCAGGTTTCCCATCATTGGGTGTGGCTCCTCAGTTTATGAATGAGTGCTTGGATGACAGACATTCAGATCCCCAGGAGCTCCCTAGAGAAACCCATGGCACAATAACTCGTCCTGCATAGCTACAAATATAATTTTATGTTAATTAAAGAGTATATATTATATTTTGTAATATGTAAACAGGAGCTGATGCCAGATACACACACCACACACACATATAGCTTGAAAGGAAAAGCATCAATTTTCTTTTTCTGCATGATTATCACTTGAATTAGGAAATCTGACCTTAATGGCAGGGTACCTAAGTCATGCTGGAAACACAGCACAATTTACATATGGAGTTTGAGGACACTGGGCCACTTCCTGCCCCTGCTCCTCCACACTTCCAAGGGCTTGATTAAATAAAGTGATAGCTAATGTTCAAGGCATTTAAAATAGGCATTTATTTTATACAATTTAAAACCAGTTACTTCATTCCTTCTCAGCAAGACTAAGGAAGGAATTCGGTGTCTGGTCAGGGTTTTAAGATGTTTCTAAGACTGTATTCTTTAACATACCTCTTCTTTTTCATTTCTATTTTTCTTCTATTGCATTTGTTCTTTGACAATCGCGTACACGTACACAGTTCACTCACTTCCTCACTCTCTCTAAATGCCTGCCCCGATCCCTTTCATCCCCTTCTTCTCCCTACAAGCCCCTTCTCCCATTCATGTCTTTTTGTTTTGTTTTGTAACTTGCCAAGTTTTACCATCTACACAAATGTGGGCTCGGAGCAAAACCGTGGAGCCTGGTGGGCTCATCAATCGGTGTGTAACTGAAAATTTTGTGTTCTCCTCCCATAGAATCCTTCCAAAGCCAATAATTCAATGCCAGGTGTCAGATATCACCTTCTCAGTCTGAGATTATTGTTGGCAGGTAAGTTCTTGTGCAGCTCGACTGCAGGCAACCACAGCTTATATGAGATCATAATTGCATTGTGTGTGCCACACCGTTAGCACTCAACAGATTCTTTTCACTACTCTTTTGAGACTTCCTCTGAGCCTTGAGGGGGAAGTTATGTGTCCTGTTAAGGACTGGACATTTGACTAGTACTTATTCTCAGTACCTTGAACAGCCATGCATTTCTGTGTTCACCATTTTCCTGCAAAGGGAAACACCTCTGATTTATGCTGAGTACTATTTGGAAGGCAAGGATTCCCTCCTTTGGTGCAGACCTCATATCCAATCAGAGACTGGGTAGTAACCCCCTTAACAGTTATACCACTCTTGTGTCAGTGGGAGTATCTTGCCTGATAAGTTAATAGGTCGGGTTCACAGCTGGGTAAGACCCTTGATGACTCTCTCTCCCCCAGTTTCCTGCATAGCAACTTCCCACACTAGGAAAGCTAGGAAGCGGGGGGTGGGGGTGGTGGTGGGGGGGGGGGTGGGGGGGTGGGGGGTGGGGGGGTGGGGGTGGGGGGGGGTGGGGGGGGAGTTCACAGTTCAGTTCCAGTTTGATTATTCTGTATCTTGCAATCATTTCTCAGTAGTTATCATCTAGTTCTGATGGGTAACCAAAAGGAAAGGTAAGGACAGGCATTGTTTTTGGGTGTTTCTGGGGCCTCCGTATCCAGCAGCATATAAGACAGTA